CTGATAGTGGAACGTAACGTTGTCCTTCTCGGTCATTCACATGTGCTGCTACTGTATGCTGCACGTTCAAGGGGGTATGCGAGTTAAAAACTATGAGATGTTGTGTTCATGTCTGTGAATTGTGAGCTGCAAAATAATTCGGCAACCGTGCATTAGCATGTCTGAGAGCTTGCAAAATGAAAGACTGAGCATATTGCAAAATAGTTTCCAGTTTTGCTTTTCAAACAGGAATTCAACCTTCCTTCTTCCCTGAGTAACTTGATGCAGGGCAATGAATTGAAGTGTTGTTTGCTTACTTTCCCTATAAAATATTGGTATGCTTTCATCTCCATGCTTAAAACTCTCGGCCTCCCTCCTGCACCCTGTGAGAATTACTTAATACCTTTACGAGGAAGACAACTTTCTCAATAAGCTGTAATAAAACTAGGACGCTTATTAGAAAAGAGCTGTTGTAAAAGAGAACGTACTATTTAAGGGTTTCCAGTGGTGGTTACTTGTGTGTCTACTTGAGCAGCCCATGTGATTAAATTTAGTGTGTTACTGTCAGATGAGTAAATATCCCTGTTCTGCAGATGTGGAACTGAGAGACCTGCCTGACATTATGTAAGCGAGTGACAGCTGGGGTCAGAGCTCTGTGTTATTTCTGATCCAGACTACTGCCCTAACCACAGGATCACAATTTCCCTTTTCAGTTCTTTTCAGATTTTCTACATAATTTCCTCGCTAAGGTTTTTCAGACAGTGGATAGCATATATTATAATAAAGGAGATAAGAATCACTTGCCTCTTACTTTGTGGTTCTATTGAAGCTACTACGTACAGGCAAAAAGCTGTGAACGCAAAAAATAGCAATTGGGAAATCTTACTCATCTCACGATGTGTTTCTGATCGCATATGCCATGCAGGGAACAGAACGTAGCCAGTGTTTCAGCTGGAGATGTCTCAGAATAATGATACATAAAATTAGTTCAGACTGAAAAATGATTCCTTCCAAGACAGCCCAAGCATGAAGGTATCGGCTTTCTGTTAAGCCTTAGATATCATTAATAGTCCAAAGGTCTTATGACACTTAAAATGAAAGCCTGCATCCTTTTTGAAGGCTCATTTGGTAACTGCGCTCTGATTCTTATGTAACCTCTGTAATTTCAGCAGGTTTTAAGGTATCCTGCACCTCCCTTTCACAGAGCAGTTTCTGGAGGGCGCTAAAAGAAAATGCATCGCATGTCAACAGAGAGGTTGAATTTGATGTTAGCTGCACGATGACCTCGTTCCCAGGGGCCAGTAGGAGAAGCAGTGCATTGAGAAATGAGAGCGTCAAGGAAGCATGTTACTTAACTGTCCATGCTAGTTGCGGGTTTGTAATGGAAGATGATTCATCAGCCATCACCAAGGAAACCGGAGAGTGTGTCAGAATATACTAGTTTACGAAGAGTTAGAGTTGTTACAGAATCATAGAATGGTTTGGGTTGGAAGGGACCTTAAAGATCATCTAGTTCCAACAAATCATATATTTGGTAATTTGGAGTTGTTAATTCATAGGAAAATTCCTGCTTGGCCTGAGATGTCTTGTGTTCTGTGAAAATTTAAGCTTTTTTGTTACTCCCAGAAAACAACTGGATTATTATACAGTGTCTCATGGATTTTAATTAACTCATTTTAGGCATATATTTTCATTGATTACGGTAATCCATCCACTCTGCCTACTGTTTAAAAAAATACAGAAATAATGTTAGATTGTCACCAAAGATAAATTCAGTGGTTTAAATTAATTTAAGCTAATGTAACTTGCGATACGTTATGTTGCTGTCATAGCTCTTGGCTTTTCCCATCCCACAGAGAAATCATTCCCCGGGGGGCTGAGATTTAATCTATGTCCTTTCTGTTGAGGAGGAGACAGACCTGCAGGAGGAACCGTTTGTGGAGGATTAGCCAGGAGATGGCAGCGGAGGGAATCACTGCCTGCTTCTGAAGAAGCAAATGAAGTGGATGAAGGAAGGCAGCTTGCTCCTCTGACGGTATCGGTGTTGGAATCTGTGCATGAAGTAACTTAGTGAATTAGAAAACGTTTCCCATTTGCCGCTTGTTTCTAATTAATTGCTAATGTCCCTGATCTCTCGAATTTTCACATTGCTTAAGTTGTATTTCCCTAAATACGCTCAGCAACTTGAGGCTGCAGTGAGAGATTTGTCACCTCTGTCAGTCTCTTTAGAAACCATTGTGATGATTGGTGTCAGTTGTTACACTGGATGACTGGCAAGGAGTAGGAGGATTTTTAGACTTGGGTTTAAGGAGATAGAGTTTGAACTGACTTCCATGTGAAAGAATAGGATTTCCAGCTGACTGAGTGCAATGTGTTTTACAAAGTGGGCTGCAGTTATTGAGAGCATCATCTTGCTCTGCTCACCAGCGTGGTGGTGTGAGAGCAGCCAGAGTGGCTGATACTGCTGACCTGTAGTGTGTGGAGACAGTCGACATTATCTGTGCATCTCCTGCCACTTCAGCAGAAGCTTATCCACCTGATAAAAAGCCCTATCTTGTTGCCTGGGTTTCCTGATTTCTACATTCTACTGTTACATAGAACAGAACATATAAAATACTTTGACTCCTGATGGGTGGTGAGCTAACCGCTCCTCTAGGAAGTCCTTGTTTCTTCCTTAGTGACTTTTAGCATTAAATACAAAACTGAAGCCCACATCAACAGGAGAAAATTAGGGAGACCTCAGCTCGGACTGCTGTAGCCTGCATTAAGCAGAGGTGGCCACTCTTTGTCAAGTGTCCTCACTGCTGCACTGAGGGGGACTCACAGAAGGAGATGCATGGGAAGGTCACCCCACATGGTGAAATGAAATGAATGGAGTTTGCTGTCTTCTTGCTTGATAGTTCTTGAGGTTTTTCCTGATATTGGGCATATAAATGTTATTTGGCCACCAAAAATTTATTGCTAGAAAAGAAATACTGTTTATTAGAGAATACTGTGTTGAGGATTGAAGTTTCCTTGTCCGTGTGCCTTGAAGTCTGAGCTATAGTGATTAGCTCCCCTTGTAAGTAAATGAAAGCTTCAGTTTTACTCAGAGCTTCCCCAAAATATGTATTGCAGACCATGGGCACCAAGGAGGTCTGACGCAGGCAGCCAGATGGATTTCACAGCAGCTACCAAGCTAGTCTTAACCAAACTTCTTGTGTGTGCTGCAGGATGGAAATAAAGCGGGTGGGGTGGGACAGACAGCTACGTGGACGCTGTGGGCTCAGGGTTTCCTTATGTGCCTATGCAATCCACTTGTTGGTTAAAAAACAGGAGGACAAACTTGGAGAGAAGTGTGCATCAGTGAGTTTCTTGTAGCAGGGGGATGTTACACCCATTGTGGGGAATCCGTGTGTTCATAAGAGTGTTGCCTGTCTATTCAGGGGTTGCCAGGAGCCAGGTCAGCCCAATGCAGAAAGCGCTGTCCTCACTTGCTCTCCAGGGTTCTTAACAGTGGAAAATCACTGGGATACAGGATCACCCTTGCCAAACTCCTCTGTCTGTGATGTTTCTGGAATGATCTTTGCCCCGCTGCCTTTCAGTGGGAAGGAGACAGGAGGCAGCGGAGAATTTGCCCTTTTGAGTTTCCCACTTGCCTTGTACCACTGACAAATCGCTTGAAGGCGGTCGGTCTCCTGTGTCAATAGGAGCTGGTGTTAACTCCAAAGGGGGGGGGTAACGCAAAAGGAGAAACGGCAAAACCCACACTGTGCAGAGGAAACGGGGTGTGCTCTGCATAGAAAAGCCATAATGTCTCAGACTAAATAGGCAATAAAATATTTTCTTGATAACCAAGGTTGTTTCTCAGGAAAGGCTAGTGACTCAGGCTATCAGTAGGTAGAGGTTACTGGGAGTAAGGGCTGTTAGGAAAGGGCTTAGAATAGCAACGGTTTGGCTGCAGAAATGCTCTGAGCTCTGTTTTCAGCTCGGGCTGGAACTGAATTTTGCTAAAATGGGGAAACTTTAGAGCATTGGGGGGTTACAGCTTGAGAGCTTGGACAACGTGGCGTTCCCCGGAGCAGCTAGCAACAGGGGCAGACGGCTCTTGTCCAGCCCATGCAGGGAGCAGAAAACTGTGGTTTTTCCAGACCCTTTGAATTCTGTTTGCGTCCTTCCATTCTTAGACATTTTTAATTAAAAAGCAACACAAAACCCAACCTCTGGTGCTCTCTTTAACTACATGTTTTTAAGGCCATGCTGCTGCGTCCCCTCCCTGCCCACACCCTCTGCCTCCAGCCTTTGAACAAACTGGCCTTATTTTTTTTATCACAGGCGACTTCAGTACAAATTAGACATGCTGCAAAACCAAAGATACCACTTAAACACCACGCCGGAGCCGAGGAGAGTATTTTTGGGGTGTGGACCATGCTTGCCGGGGCTGCCCTGCTTCTGTGCCTGGCTGGACACCCTGCAATTCGGTGTCCCAGGGCAGAGCCAGCACCTAAAATTAGCCTCGGCTCCCTGCCCCGGGCTGTGGGCAGCAGCTCGGCCCGGGGACGGTGCCTCTGGGTCCCCGGAGCTTGGGAGGGTGCCTTGTTTTGGGGGCGAATTTGTGTTTTTTTTTTTTTTTCTTGGTCAGAGCCTCTGCGCACCCCTTGGTCTTGGGGGTTGCCCCCTATGCTCACCCCTTGTTTTGGGGCCAAATGGCTAAATTCCAGAATTGCTCTGTTGGCTATTTCTAGGAGGGTTTTATTCCTTGTTGAAGATTTTGCAACTTTGGGGAGCAAACCCTGCGCTAACGCGCTATTAGCGGGGAGGGCGGGGGGGAAGAGCGCGCTCAGCCGCTCCCCCCTCCCTGCGGAGTGGGGGCGTGGTTCTGGCGGGCACCGCCTCCTTTGATACGCGCCGCTGTGGCTGCTATTGGCTCTCCGGGTAGTGACGTGAAGGGACTGCGGTTGTTCCGCGGAGGCGCGCCGCCGCTCCGTTTGCGTCGCTTTAAAGGGGCCGCGCTCGCTGCAGCCCCGGCAGCGGCGCCGGCCCCGCCGCACCGAACCGGGCCGGACCGCGCTCCCCAGCCACCGGTTCCCGGCCCCGTTTACGGCCCAAGACGCCGGGCTACCTGCACACCCACCGGCACCGGGACGAACCGGGTGTTCCCGACCCGGTAAGGAGGCTCCGGGGGCTGATCAGGCGTGAGTCTGCACCGGGGCGGCCGGTACCGGGAGGTGCCGACCTGGTTAGGAGGCTCCGAGGATCGGTGTACCGGCTCTCGGCACCGGGAGATGCCGATCCGCTACGGCTTGCTGCCGGTACCGGGAGGTGCCCAGTCGGTGGGGGTCTCCGCTGACTGGGGGTGGCTGGTGCCGGTACCGGGAGGTGCCGATCCGGTAGGACCCTGCGGTGACCGGGGCGGCTGATGCCGGTACCGGAGAGTCCCCACCCGGTTGGACTCTCGGAGGACCGGTATGTGACTGGTGCCGGTACCGGGAGGTGCTGACGGGGCAGGAGCCTCCCAGTACCGACCGTGCGTGAGTCAGCCCCGTTACCGTCACCGGGACCGGGAGGACCGGAGGAGCGGCCGTGCGTGAGTCGGCACTGCTCCCGCTTCCCGGGCAGCAGGCTGGGGGATGCCGGTACCGGAGCCGGAGCAGCAGCCGCTGTCCGTTCCGGTACCACCGACCGCAGGGAGCTGACGCCGGGCCGGTACTGGCACCGGTGACCGGGAGGGCGAAAAGCCGCACGATGCATCTGCCCGGGTACGGCTGCGGCACCGTAGCTGGGAATCCGGACTCCAGTTTTGGGACTCCCACAAAACCAGCCGTCGATCCGGCACCCGCCACCTGCTAACGGCAGCGTTTTGGGGCCAAAACCACCTGTTTCAGGTTTTTTGTTGTTGTTGCAGAGCGGAGAGCTCTGGTCCCGACGGCCGCAGCGGGAGCCTTTGGCTGCGGTAACGCCACGGCTTCCTGGCAGGTGGCAGGAAAAATAAACACCATTAAAAAAAAAAAAGGACCATCCCCATAACCCGACGTGACCGGCCGCGGCGTCGCAGCCGTGCGGGCGAGCAGGGTGAGCCCTGGCCCCGGGGAAGGTGTTCCCCTTCCCGTTCCTCTTCCCCTTCGCCCCTGCCAGGGGGATTTGGGATGAAGCAGGAGCCACGGAGCACGAGAAGGGGCGAGGTGGCACCTGGGCACATGGAGGGGGTCGGGGCTGGCTGAGAAACCCCTCCGAGCTCCGCTGTCCGGTGATTTGTTATTTATTTGCTCATTTGCTTCTGTTTCGGGAGCCGTGTAGACGGCCAGGGATGGGAACGGGTCGGGTTTTATTCCAGGAGCGGTGAAATTGCCTCATGATCCTGATGACATGCCTGGTGGTGCCCGGGAGGGAGGTTTTCCTCTCCTTTGCTTTTTGGGCAGCAGGACTCTGTCCTCTTGTTTTGCCATTAATACTGTCCTAGGGAGTGGACAAATGAGTTTGCTAAAGGTCAGTGCTTGGGTTTTGAGTTAAAACTAAAAAAACCCCATGTTTTACACACCAAAAACATCAAGTGGTTTTATAAGGTTAAAAACAGGCAAGAGCAGAGTACGCCAGGTGATTAAAACCAGCCCGGGGACTGTGCCCACCATTGGGAAATGCCCCCGTGGCCCTTCGCTTTTGAGGCTCAGCAGTTCCCGGCTCCAAAATCAGGTGCTGATCCCCGTCCGCGCTCGTTTGGGTGCGATGGGGGCTCACGTAGGGCCTGATCCTGCAGCAAAGGGCGGGCACGTAGCGCAGTGCTGCTCCTCTCCATGCAGCTCATCCTGCGCTGAACCCATTACGGGATTAAGCCCGAAGTCGCCCGGCGGTGCAGAGATCTGCCGGGACGCGCAGCAAGAGCTGATCTGCAGAGATGAGGAGGGCAGTGAATATTGCTGGGCTTCAACCTTTCCTCCCTGGGCCTCTTCGGGGCACAAAGATCCCGGGGATGGCTGGAGGTATTGCCAGAGGGGAAGAAAACATTGAGATTTTGGGGATGAACTACCCTGGGAAATTATTTTTGCCGTGAGCCCAGCAGCTCACCGCTTTTATCAGGCATATTTTGACCCTCATCCCAAATTCAGTTTGTTTAAACCTTTATGTTTGCCGCGATTAATGAGAAAATATCTGTTTTATTTTCTGTTCCAACATTCAGGCTTTGCATAATGTTAGGAAGCGCGGCCGCTTTTCTTTTATTTTGGAGGGAGTCCCTTTTTTGCAGAAGGTGGACGGACGCGCTCCCGGGAGGCAGCCGCCGGGTGAGTCATTTCCGCGCAGAAATAGCTCTGCTGGAAGCGGTGACATGGTCCTGCAGGGATTTCACTTCTTCCTTCCCCGGATGGAGCCGGCTGCTCCATCCCACGCCACTAGCGGCGTGCCCACGGGCACTGCTGGCTCCTGGCTGGATTTAACAGGGTAATTTAAGGCTGGGAGATTTGCGAAGTATTTTTTTTCTCATCTCTGCTCTCCTCCTGCGCGGGGCAGAGTCAGGGTTTGAGGTGGCCGCTGCCAGACCCCACAGCTCAGCCTGCTTGTCTTTAGCCGGAGAGGATGAGCGCTGGTTTATTAAGAGTCGCTCCTAACGCTGGTATCTCCTTTTTCTGTATCACAAGGGGAAAACAGCACATGGGGGAAGGATGTCATTTGCCCAACAGCCCCCTGAGGCCGGTGGTGAGAAATCCCATCCCCGGACCTTTATTCCCTAATTAATGCTGGCTTAGATTTCAATTTCTCCTTTGCATAAAAGCAATGCGCATTTTGATACAATTAATAGCAGCGTTGGGGATGGCTGAGAGCAGAAGGCGGCTTTTGCAGAAGCGTGGCAGGAATGCTCCGATCTCCTGCCGGTAGGTGGGGGCAGCAATTGTCCAAGCTGACTTCACGGATTATCGTTTTCCTTAGAAATCCTGTAGAAAATGGTCTGGTGGCTTCTTTCCTCCCCCATGACGGAGAAGCTGCTGTCAGGGTGCTTGGCTCAGAGCCCTGGGCTGGGAGAGGCTCTGGGCAGCAGCGGTTGCAGTGCCGGAGACACTGGGGCAAGGAACCTGGTAGAGCAACTGATTTTGTTTTCCAGCTCTTGGGAGCAGCTGGATTTATCCCTGCTGGAGCTGTTGGTGCCTATGGTGCTTCAGGGAGAGCAAAGTGATTCCAGGGAAGTGGGGAGGAGAGGCGAGAGCTCACAGGGAGCTCTGCTGAGGACAAGTTAATGTGAGATCAGGGCGGCCGATGCTACTTCTGACCTCGTGCTGGTCAGCTCTGGAGGGAGGGAGAGCAAAAATAAGCCAGAAGAGACCAAACTGGCTTTTCCCCAGCTTGTAGGTCAGTTTTTCTATGTACATAACAAAAGGTTAATTCAGGAGAGGCGGCTAAACGGAAGGTATTTGGGGAACCTCAGCTGAAACGCGCTAAAGGGACGATAGATTGCACGGAGGTTGCTGTTGAGGTCTGTGTTTGACCTCATCTGCCCGAAATCCAAGATGTGTGCTGTTATTCTTTCCTGTTTTGCAAAATGCAAAAACTTGGGGCCCAGAAGAGCTTTTTTGGGGCAGGTTAGCTCCCTATGTCCACATCATCCCTTACAGCTGCCTGTAATGGTGTCCACGGGGTTAACCAGCCCTTCCAGGGCTCTTTCCCCGTGCCACTGCATTGGTACCGCAAAGTCTCCTTAAGGCTTAGACCCAAATTATTTTCTCACTGCTGGCAGCTCTTCAGAATATAATGACAAAAATTACAATTACTCTTTCATGTTTAATCTTTTTTTTTTTTCCTGTTTCCCTTGGTTTGGACCTGAAAATCGTGGTGGCTAATCCCACCCCCAGGCTGGCTCTAGCATTATTTGGCTTTTGATGGGTGCTCCTACAAAGAAATAACTAGTGTTGGGTTTGAAGATTTCACAAAAAGTTGCTTTTACAAGATTTCAACCCAGGGTTTAATTTTGAATGCCCGCTTCCTTTTGCAGTGTGCCACCTTTGAGTTGCAGTTGTGGTTTATTATTTTAGCAGACTCATGAATTGCATTTGTGCCCAAAATAGTTTGATGCTGGGCATCAAACCAGACAAATCCCACACAAATCACCTTCAGCTGAAAAACTCTTCCTGTTGTCATGCTGATGACAAAAAAAATCTTTGAAATCCTCCTAGCCTCAGCTAAGCCGAGCTACTAGTGCCCAGTTAAAATTTCCCGTGTCCCAGTCTGTTATTCCTCCCGCTAACCACCCGGCTGAGTTTTCAGCCGGGTTTGGCTGCGAGGTTGGTTTTTTGAGGTTTCCCATCACTCTGCTTTGATCGCTGTGGACCACAAGAGGTCGGCAAAATTCAGGAGAAGTAACTTGGGCTCTGCCTTTGCTCTGGGGCAGCAGACTGGCACATCCTCACCTGAGCTGTCTGGGCACCCAGTTTCATTCCAGGATAATTACTCCATTAAAAGAAACACCCCAAACTAATTATACTGGAAGAAAATCAGGGCAATTTTGGAACAGGGCATGCGTTGCCAGGGTTTATTGCCGAGCCATTCTGCTGGCTGCTTTCATGTGCGGCAAAGCCCTGGCGCTCGGGGGAATTAAGAAGGATGAGAAGCATTAAACAGGGTCTGCCCGCTCGCCCTGCTCTCCGGAGACTCCTTTAATTCCTCCGTTCCTGGTACAAAAGGTCCTGAGCCTGGGAGTTTGCTGCAGGACGTAGAGCCCGGCTGTGCTGTGCCATTTGGTGCTGTGCCCGAAGGTGGCAGCTGGGGAAAACCCAAGCCGTTAACCAAATTCCCCCTTCTTTATGGTTTGCAGTCAGGAGAGCAGCCCGGCGAGCCCTAAGCGCTGCCTTCAGCAACACGCTGCCTGCAGAGTGATGGTCTTAAAATGAAAAGGTGCTGTGAGGGCGTTGGGCTGCCATGCCTGTTTAAGGTCAGTGCCATTCTCACTCGTCTTGTCCTCTCTGAACGGGGTTGTTCCCTCTCTTCTCAGGGCCAGGGAGCAGGAATTGTGTCCCCATCCTGCAAATCTCTGGCCGCAGGCGGCATGGGACCAGCCGGGAGGTGAGCGGGTGCCGCTGGGGCCATCGTGGCTTTTAGCCGAGGGGAGCAGATGGACACCGGGAGGCTGGGCTGGGGCTCACCAGCTTTGCACCCTTGTTGGCAGAGTGGGTTTATTTTGGTTTTAAAGCAGCGCAGGAGGTGGCTCCAAGTTATCCCGGGCTTCTCGGGAGCCGGCGGAGCCCAACCCAGGGAGAAACTGCATCTAGGTGATGGAGCAAAAATCAACCTGCAAAATGTTTTCATCTGTCGGGAAGAGCCAAACTTGTCCTGGCAGCAAGAGGGGTCTGCAGGGACACAAAACCCTTTTCAGAGGTGGGATGGGAGCAGGTTGGGGAGTAAACCTCCCCTCCTCTCTGCTGAGGACCCTCCCTGCACAAACCACCCCAAGGCACAGCCTGTCCTCGTCTCCCTTGGGAGGACGTGTGCGGCTGTTGCTCGGCCCAGTGACCGCCTTGATGGCAGGACCAGGATTAGCAGTGACAAAATGATCTCTTTATAGGCAGGATAAACGCCTTAGGGCTGGGGCTGAGGTATGTCAGCAGGGGATTAGCCCCCCCCAAGCCCAGCTGGGCTAATAAGCTGCCTGGGGGTAAGGTAGCCAAGGAGCATCATTCTGTGGCGCTGGCAGCCTCTTGCTACTGCGGTTGCCACCATCGCTGTGCCAGGGCCGAAGCAAAGTGCCTTGAACTAACGGCTGGGCGTTATCCTTCCACCTCGCAGGGTGTTGGTATGGCCAGCTCCCGGCCTCCCAAATACCTCCTCGTCTTCGATTTCGACGAGACCATCATCAATGAGAACAGCGATGACTCCATCATCCGGGCGGCACCGGGGCAGGCGCTGCCGGAGCACATCCGACAGACCTTCCGCGAGGGCTTCTACAACGAGTACATGCAGCGCGTCCTGGCGTACATGGGGGACCAGGGGGTCAAGATGGGGGACTTCAAGACTGTCTACGAGAACATCCCCCTGTCCCCTGGCATGCCAGAGCTCTTCCAGTTCCTCTCCAAGAACCACGAGCTCTTCGAGATCATCCTCATCTCTGATGCCAACATGTTCGGCATCGAATGCAGTCTGAGGGCAGCCGGTTTCTACTCCCTTTTCCGCAAGATCTTCAGCAACCCGTCTGGTTTTGACAAGAGGGGGTACTTCACCTTGGGGCCCTACCACAGCCATAAGTGCCTTGACTGCCCGGCCAACATGTGCAAACGCAAAATCCTAACAGAGTACCTGGCGGAGAGAGCCCAGGAGGAGGTGGAGTTCGAGAGGGTCTTCTACGTGGGAGACGGTGCCAATGACTTCTGCCCTTCCGCGACTTTGACTTCAGCTGATGTGGCTTTCCCGCGGAAGGGCTACCCCATGCACCGAATGACCCAAGAGATGGAGAAGCAGCAGCCTGGAGCCTTCCAGGCCACTGTTGTCCCCTGGGAGTCAGCCACAGAGGTCGCCCGCTATCTCCAGGAGGTCCTCAAGAAGAAGTATTGAGGCTGGCTCAGAAGAGACTTGCATACTATAAGCAGCTGGGAAAGGAGAAGACTGGCGGGGGGGGGTCGCACCGTGTACCCCACGCTCATCGGCGCTGCTCGCTCAGCCCCCGCTCCCGGGTTACTTTCCTGCCTTTCCTCCCCAAGCTCCTTTCTCTCTGGCGATTAAAGCACTTTCTCTAGGTCCTCCCTTCTCCTTCCCCTGCCATGTTGAGATGACGCCTTCTCTATGCAGCTCGGACATCTACTCCACCGTGGGTGTTTGCCAACACTAGTGGTGATTTTCTTATTGTTGGTTGTGGGTTTTCTTTTTTTCCTTTCTTTCCCTTTTGACTTTACAAGAGCAATTCCTAAAAGACCAGAAGCCAGCTCCCCACGGGCTGGGCCCTGCACATGCTTCCTCTTACCTTCATCCCCCTCGCCTGCCTGACCTGCACCGGCCACGCCAGAAGCTGCGTGCTGTTGCCTTGAACCTGATGCTTGAGGTCTCCTTGCCATTTCGTGAGGCCACTGGAAATTTAATCTGGGAAATTCGTGCTGCCTGAGCTCCCCAGTTTGCCCTTCACACCCTGCCTGAGCAGGGCAGCTCCTGGCTCAGCCGCTGAGCCTTGCGATGGAGTAAATTGTCCCTTGAGACTTTATGCTCTGAAAAAAAACCATGACGTGAGGGACAGGAAACCTTTTGGAAAGGTGGTACCTTGGAAAAAACCTTTAGTGCCCATCCCCACCCACTTGCCCAGAGCATGGGCACAGCGACCGCATCCCGCTGCGGGGAGGAGGACCTGCCCTTGCCTTCCACTTCCATCCTCTGCTTCTGCTTGCAGGGTAAAACGTCCCCCGTGTCCCCAGGGTGGACAGGTTCCTCCTCTCTCTAAGCCATTACCAGTCACGTCCTTGTGTTTGCTGGATCGTATCGAATTCCTTTTAACCCAGGGGTTGATTTCCCTCCTGACCTCGTCGAGAGGTGCCAAACCTCCCCGCGGGAGGTGCGGTGCTGTGAGCACTTCTCCTGCCATCGGGTCCCTGGAGGCCAAACCCCTGTTCCCCCGCCCCGCTGCAGTATTAATTGCCCCTTCTAATTGCACTCTGCAGGGGGGGACCCACAGTATTTGCTGCTCTCTGGTGTTGGCTTCTCCTGGATTTATCCACAGCCTTACCGGCCCCTGAGGGTGGCTCGTAATTCCTCCAAAGCGTAGAAACCCTGACAGCAAATCTGAGCAGTAAGGAAATAACCAAAGCAGCCCTGAGTTGTTCCTCTGTTTCATTTCCCCCGTCTTTGTTCTTCCTCCTCTGGACCCTCTTCAACTGTGTGGAACTTAAAGCCATGGAATTAAAAAAATACATATATATGTATATAGATATATATCTATATATTACAGATACACAAGTTGTTTGTATCCAGGACATAAACCTGGGTGTGAAACGGCTCTCTGAGTTGCACATACATGTTGTTTCTCTTCCTTGGGCTGGTGAAAGGTGGGGGGCGGGGGGAAATGGCATTGGAGGGGGAGCAGCAGAGCAGGGCCAGGCTGCAAGCGATGATCTGCAGGGGACCCTATGGGGACCCCTTTGGTGCAGGATTGGGCCCTGGCTCATCCCCCTCTGCGTCTCAAGCTGATGGGGACAGCAGGCAGGTTCCCTGGGGCCACAGCTGGGTGCTGCTCTTCTCCTTGTCCCTGCGGGTGTTTGGCCCTTCTCCTCTATCTGGCCTTTGGTCCTGTGCCGCCCTCGCTCCGGGGCCGGGAGCATCACCAGGGTCAGCCCACGGGATCACCGTGCCATGCGCCGCGTTTCCATCAGCTGAAAAAGCTGCTGTGTCCCGGTGCTAAACCTTCCCAGCACCAACAGCAGCCAGTGCTGCTGTCGTTAAAAACACAAAGAAAAGCAAGATGGGAAAGGGACCGGGCAGGGGGATGCTGTGGGTGCTGGTGGGTGCCAGCAGTGGCACCCAGTCCAGCTGCCCACGCGAGGGCTGAGCTGTGCGAAACCCCAGCTGTGCAAAGCCGACATTGAAAGGCAAAGCAGAGCCCTGCTCAGGATGATCCGGATTGGGGGATTTGGGGGGGGAACTGCCCGATCTCGGTGCTCAAAAGGGCTCCACGTAATTGCCGGGGAAGAAACCCACTTCCTCGCCCATGACGCCCTCGCACCAGCCGTCCGAGTACCGCCGCGTGACGAAGAGGAGGGTGCCGGGCTGGAAGGAGAGCTCGTTGTCCTTCTGCCGCGTGTAGGGGTAGAGAGCCACCACTGTGAGAGGGGGGAGAGGGGACAAGCCACCACCGGGGAGGACGTGAGCAGACCACGGCATCGCTCGCCATCCCAGCCCCGGCCGATGCTGGGGCAGAGTTGGACCCTCAGTGCCATGGTTGTGGGTAGGGGTTCAACCAAAAGCACCATGGCAAAGAGATCGGGGAGGGGGGGATCCATCATACCTTTCTCCAGGTAGCTCTCTGGGACCCAGGGGGGGTCCTCTGCGGCGGGTGGTGGTGGTGGTGGTGGGGCCAAATCCTCAAAGTCGGGCAAAGCTGGTGGCGGCGGCGGCGGCGGTGGCTCAAGGTCATCGGGGGCTGGCAAAACCCCGCCAAAATCGATGGGGGATGCAGGGCTCCATGGCAGAGGGGGGAGAGAAGCCACATACAGCCCCCCACCTCCCCACTAACCCCTCCATGCTGAGCATCCCTGGACCACCGAGCACTCACCTGGGGGCATAAGGTCCAGTGGGGGCACAGCCAGGTCCCCCAGCGGTGGCGGGGGCAGGTCCCCGGGGAGAGGTGGGGGCGGTGGGATGGCGGGCGATGGCGATGGCCCCGGCAGGGAGGGGAGCGGCGGTGGTGGCGGCGGCACGGGGATGCCTTCAGCGGGGGCTGCCGGGGCTCCGCTTGAGCTGGGGCTGGGGTGGAGGAGCAGGGGTGTCAAGGTGGGAGGCCAGGCTGGGGGGGCTGGCTTTGCCCCCCTCACTCTTTGAATACAGACAGTTGCTCTGTGCCAGGACGGGGTGCCGCTCACTGCCGTCACCGTGTGGGCAGGAGATCCCGGCATCCGTGTACAAACCCTTTCCCCACCCCGTGCCTCAGTTTCCCCATTGGGGACCCTCTCTGTAAGGGCTATTTTTGCTCTAAAGACAAGCACCGCCCAGGGTAGCAAATCTCCCACTCCCCAAACCCCATCTTTTTCATCAAAACCCCTTTGCAGCAGGACCTCCCCTGAGCAGAGGGGCGACAGTGGCTGCTCTCCGGACCCCCCCCCCCAGGCCCTCCCGACCCACCGGGCAGCGCCGGTACCTGATGGATATCAGCGAGGAGGTGGAAGAAGCTGCGGAGATCTTGCCCTCTGGAACCACGGGTGGCTGGATGGGCTCAGGGGCACGGGTGCTTCTCCTGCGGGCAGAGCGGCCGATGACCCCCCCCAGCCCGGCTAGCAGGACCCCGGATGAGACCCCAATGGCTAACCCCATGCCACGTGTCACCGCTCGGTGACACAGAAAAGCAAAACTCCCGACCCCACACCCATCCTCACCCCAGGGTGCCCGTAGCCTGCGTCGCCGATTTGATCCCCTTCCGAGCCAGGGTGCCCGTGCGGGACAGCTGGGTGCTGTGATCCTGCGGGCACAGGGAGACACGGAGACGTGATGGTGGCCGCAGCTTCCCCCGCAAACCCATTGAGTCCCAGAGGGCTGTGACACCCCCATTCCCACCCCCCACCCACCTCCAGGGGAAGCAGCACCCCAAGGTCTCTGCCGGACCCCCGCCTCGATGGGAAAAGCCGAGCGGAAGGAGCCACCGGCACTGCGGTGCGGAGGCAGCCGAGAGGCGCCTGCCACCGTGGGAACCACGTCCCCAGTGCCACCACTTCCCCTCCAGCCCCACGGCGGCTTCGCTGGGGGCTCGCGCCTGCGAGGCCGCCAAAACAACACCCCACCCCCCTCACCCCCGCCGTGGGTGCCTTCCTGCGCGGGTGGTTTCGATGCTGGGAAAGGCACCGTGGGGGTGAGAGCATCACGGCTCGGTACCGGCCCTAGCGGTGCTGATGGCTTTTGCTGAGTGTTGTGTGCCTCAGTTTCCCTTTGCTGTATTGGAGCGGGTCCCCCCCCTTCCTTCCCCACGCTGGGACCACCAAGCCTCAGCGGGATGAGTCCCGGAGTGGGCTGTGGGGCACAGAGAGACCCTGCTTCTCCATCGAGGAGGGGTTTGAACCCATCTGTGCACCCATCAGCGCACACTGGGGACCAAGAAAGCCCATCCAAGCCCCCTCATCCCTGTGGGACATCTTCCTAGCCCTGGGCTGACCTTTATGCCGTGGCCGATGTCATCCAGGACACTGAAGTTGAGGGGTTTCCTGTAGTAGGGCTCCAGGCAGGGTGGGCTGGGGGGCGGCACGATCTTCTGGTAGGACGGGAACCTCTTGCTGACAGTCAATGAGCCGATCTCCCGGCGAGACACCTTCTCTTTGTGTATGTCAACCCTCTGCAGAGATAACACTGTCCCCACTGTCCCATCCCAGGTTCTCCTCGCCTCCTGCTGCCTCCTCAAAGTCCCACCACCCTTCCCGGCCCCATCTCCCTGCCTCTAAGGGAGGGCTTGCAGGGAAGAATCAGGATTGAGCCTAAACCCCCTGGTCCGGCCAAAGCCACAGGGGCAGATCCTGCTCTGCTCCATCACAGCAGGGTGAGTGATGCCCTTGATGCCACCACAGCAGATCTGGCCCTTCCTAAAGCAGGGGACGGGGGGACAAGGCAGTGGCGGGGGGGATGTGTGAGCCTCGGCCACCCATAAGCTGTTTTCCTGCTGCTTCCAGTGTGACCACAGGGTCCCATCTCTTCTCGTGGCTGGAAAGGCTCCAGGTGGCTTCCAAGAGCCAGGAAGAGGGCGGGTGGCCACGGGACTCCACGTTGGTGTCCCTAAGCTCCAGGAGGACAAGGCCAGGCCCCAGCAAGGGAAAAGCGTGGCAGCCAGTCCAACGGTCCAAGCCCCATCACTCCACTTTGGCTCCTCTGAGATTTCCCGGGCAGATCCTACAGTCCCCTCCACTGGGATTTGCAAGTGCCCAGACTGGGAAAACAGCCCAGAGACCAGTTTCCCAGCCCCAGGTAGACTTGTTCCCCCATGGCGCATTGGGTGACCCCCCACCACCACCACCCAAGGAGATGGTCTTGCATTTCCACTGCAAGGTGATGCTACAGGGGGGGCTGATGGGCTCTTGAAGCTGCAGGGAAGGAGGGTCTTCAGCCCCTTCGAGCTGCCCAAACGCCTTTCCCAGAGCCCACCCCCTTCTCAGGACCCAAATCCCAATATGCATCGGCACCGGTCGGAGGATGGTCCCACCTGGGCCACGCAGGCGATGTCGGCTTCTACCTTCCGCACCTCGGCCGTCTGCAGGTCCAGCAACCGGAGGAAGGTGGTGGCCAGGCTGCTGACCTGGTAAGTCACGCTGGCCAGGGACTGCGTGCTCAGCGCCATCGTTTCTTCCAGCGCCTTCCGCTTGTCGCTCGCCTGGAGGGGGAAAACCAGTCGGTGGGATGAGCCCACCCCGTGCAACCACCGCTACCCTCCGTGTCTTCACACGCTGGAGTCACACGGTAGCAAAGATGCTTCCTTCTGCTTTCCAAATGCATCAAACTTCCTCTGGCTCCGCCAGGACACACGGGCACCCGTCAGGCAGCGGTGCTCGGCTTTTCCAGCACCAGGGATTCCCCGTAATTCCTCCCTGGGATGCTGCCATTTTGGCAGGTGCCAGAGCCAAGTGCCCGGCTCAGTCTCCGGCCACCCTTGGGGACAGCCGGCCATGCCACCAGCTGTGCTGGGGACAGCGTCTCGGTTCTCTGAATAGTTCAGCACGTTTCCCCTTCAGCTCCGCTCCGGCGGGTCCAATCCCTTGAGAGCAGCCTTGGGTCTGGCTCGAGGCAGCGAGCCGCTGACACAGATTCTGCAAAGCACCCAGGGAACAGGGGGCCAAGACACCCTCCCCAGCAAAGAGGGCCAGAACGAGCCTTTTCCCTCCTATTTCATCTCAAAAGCTCCTGCCCCCCCCTTCCCTCAGTGGGGGCCAGGCAGGGAGGAGGAGGGTCACAGACAGCAGCAGAGCTTCACGCTTGCTCTGCGTGTGCAGGCACCCAGCTCGCCTCTGCCCTGCCAGGAGGCACCTCTGAAACCCTGGGGACAGCCTGGGGACAGCCTGGGGGGGCACTGGTGTCCCTGGTCCCCTCCCAGAGCTTCTCTGGAGGCATCAAAGCCCCGGAGGACTCTCCTTTCATCCCAAACCCACTCTGAGAGCTGAGCAGAAAAGCTGCTGTGCAGCAAGCGGGGAAACTGAGGCAGGAAGGAAAAAAAAAAAACCCCAAACAAACAGTGGCACGCAACACTTGGTAGGAAGCTACCAG